ATATTTATTCACCCAAACCATATTTGGTATCAATGTTATACCTAACAGAAAGTACTCTTGTTTTGCAGATGGTATGGTCGGGACAATATCTGCCAGGAATACCATACCGCCGGTCCATATTCCTGCCACATTCCCAAGGATTTAGCCCTGTTCACACCTTACGAAATTTGGGTAGAAGCATCCAACCGACTTGGAATGGCTGTATCTGATGTGGTGATGCTGGACATTGTTGATGTTGGTAAGAAGGTCCTCACAGTTCACCAACAAATCTTGATGGCAACTGTTCACATTTGGTTGACAAAGCTGTTGTATGCTAACCGTGGTCAACTAACAGTTAACCAGAGTTGGAAGGGACCTCGTAGGTCATCTAGTCTAACCCCCTGCCTAAGCGGGAGACCCTACACCATTTCTGAGAAATGACAGTCCAATCTCTTCTTGAAAGTCTCAAGTGATGCTCCCACAACTCCCGAGGGCAAGTTATTCCATTGGTTGATTGTTCTCACTGTCAGAAAGTTTCTCCTTATTTCCAGGTTGAATCTCTCCTTGTTCAGTTTCTATCCATTATTCCTTTTCTGGCCTTCGGATGCTTTCGAGAATAGCTTGACCCCCTTCCTCTCTGTGGCAGCCCCTCAAATATTGGAAGACTGCTCTCATGTCTCCCCTGGTCCTTCACTAGTCTAGCCATGCCCAGTTCCTGTAACTGTTCGTCATATGTTTTAGTCTTCAGTCCCCTAATCATCGTGGTTGCTCTTCTCTATGACGCTACCAGGGCTAATTCCATGTGTCCCTTGACAATTTCAAAAGTTGTACAAAAGTTTCAGCTTCTGTAGCTTTGAATGCTACCAGTGCTCATCTCCATTTCAAGGCCATTGAATCAGCAGTACCCGAAGACATTTCCACGGTCATGTGGCCAGCATGACATCACGGAGCGCTGTTACTCTCCTACCAAAGTGATGCCTATTTATCTATTTGTATTTGCATGCTTTTGAACTGCTAGGTTGGTGGGCCGGGACGAGAATGGCAGCTCACCACATCATGTGGCACCCAGGGCTCGAACCTGGGCTGCCTGGCTTTCCAGCCAACAAGCCTAGCGTTTTAACTACTGAGCCACCATGCCACCCTTTTGTGCCAGAATGAGGGTGTAAAATTCTTCTGGTAGCAGTCAATATCCTCCACAGCCCCATTTGTTAGTCTCAAGCCATTAATTTTCACAGGTGGATCTCAACACACACACACACACACACACACACACATACATCCTGCGGTCATGTGATTACATTTTGGGCGCCTAGCAACCGGCTCACCTTTATGAATATCTACAGAGTCCCAGGGTCACGTGACTATGATTTTCTATGTTTTTTTAAACTGATTTCTGGAGTTTAGTCTGTTTACAGCATGCACAAAAAAAAATCAATCACTCCTGCAGGCAACCCAAATAGGAGATAACTAGCATGACTGATGCATTTTGCCATGCTTCCTCCAGTTCCTTTTAAATCTTAATCTTGATTTTAAGTTCTTGACTTGTCCCCACTTGTCCCTGTTCGATAGTCACAACTGACCCACCCTCGGATGTCCACGTGAGCCGAGTGGGAGACCTGGAAGACCAGCTCAGCGTGAGGTGGAGTGCGCCTCCTGCTCTTAAGGATTTCCTCTTCCAAGCCAAATATCAGATCCAGTACCGGGTTGAGGACAGTTCGGAATGGAAGGTGAGTCTCCTTAACAGGGTATGATATTTTTTCTGCAGCAGGGCAAGCATCAGCCGGAGTAATCAGGAACTGCAACGTGCTGGGGCTGCATCCACATGGACATCTGGTTCAAATGTCAGCGTTCCAGAAAACCTTCCAATAAATAACTCCGAGACAGACATCCTCTCAAAAGTTCTTTTTTTTATTTGGGTAGTAAACTGGCACATCTGGGAAATCCCGAATCTGAAAGTTCCAGGTTTCCTTGCAATAAGTTAAAACATATATAAATCCACACACCCCCTGCACCCATCATCGCATCACAGGCCCCAATCACCATCCGTCCCAACTTGAGACGTCCTCTCCCCCAGGTGCAGAAATAACATGACCTTGACTTAGAAGAAGAATGCTATTATGTTTAACCACATACACTCCAAGAAATTTCCCCCCTCCCATTTTCCCAGGCTCAAGAATGTGGCAGTGTGGAAGCGTCTGGTGCTAATATGGCTTCCAAAGCTGACACCAAATTTGGGGGCTTGGAGACTCAAGGTAGTCTCAGGTTAGTACAGGTACTCCTTGACTTACAACTATTTATTTTAGCGACGGTCTGAAGTTACAGTGGCACTCAAAAATGACTGTTGTTCACATTTGCATGGTCACATGACCAGAATTGGGATGCTTGGCCACTGGTTCATATTTATGACGGTTACCCTGGGGTCATGTAATCCCCCTTTGCAACCTTCTGACAAGCAAAGTCTATGGGGAAGCCAGATTCACTTAACAACCATGTCACTAACTTAACTACAAGGATTCACTTAGCATCTGTGGCAAGAAAAATTGTAAAATGGGGAAAAACTGACTTAACAAAATGTCTCATTTAGCTCAAAAAATTGGGGGCTCAGTTTGGGGATCATAAGGGAAGGACTATCTGTACCACAACTGGGACCAGAATTTGTTAACAACTGCATTGTTAAGCCAGACAGTTTGATAATTGAGCCACACTCGATTTTATGACTCCTTTTGCCACAGTTGTTAAACAAATCACTTCAGTTGTTAAGTGAATCATGTGGTTGTTAAGCAAATTTAGCTTCCCCTATTGACTTGCTTCTTGAAGCTGGCTGGGGAGTGTTCTGACCTAGGCTTTATAAAATCATGAAGCAGACTCCTTGTCCCTACAGAACCCCTTTTTATTAGGCTAATGTGAATTCCTATCATTCATATCCAGCAAAGTCCCAGCAAACAGTCTTTCAAGGGTGAATTGCAGCCACAGACCTTATCAGGCTTGGAGAGTTGCCAGGCCGATAGCTTCCAAGCGCAACGCTGTACAAGAAAATACTTGGCAAGGAATCTTTTGAGAGTCACGAACAAATCTTTACACTGATTAAGTGAACTAATTGTCTCCTGCAAACACCACTCCCATTTCGCTCCTATTTATTCCCTATGGGAGGAGCCATTCATTGTCCACCTTTGCCTTTACTCCTGAGTCGACCCTTGTTCCTTAACTTCCCTTCTCCTGGCAGCTCTGCACATGCGCACATCAGGAACAGGCTCCAGCTATTCTTCTGCCCCACTGATCTCTGACTCTGAAGGCAGCTGATAACTGTCAGATGGCCCTGGCCCCATGATGAGTCCTTCGATGCAGAGCACTCATCAGAGCCTTCGCCAGGCTCCAGGACTGGTCCATGTTCCTCCCCAACCTCCTCACTGTCCGTGTCTTCCGCCAGCTCCTCTGGTCACTGGCGGGCCACAACAGAAAGGTCACAAATGGTGATAACATGACCATGGGATGTAGCAACATCATAAATACAGGCCAGTGTTTATGATTTAGGCTAAATGCCCATATTTGGATCAGGTGACTGTATGGATGCTACCATGGTCATAAGTGCAAGGCCTGGTCAAAAAAAGAAAAGCTGAAGAAAAATAGAAAAGAAAGAAAAAAAGATACAAAAAAGTGGCTTGCAATATTCTTCATAGCAGTTGTAAGTACAGATGAAGCTCTAACTTATATCTGAAGTTTAAGTAACAAACATTTCAGAGCCAACTTGTTTGCCTTCAGAAGCGCGTGTTAAAAGTGCGTGTTTCAACTGGCTGATTATCCTGTCCTTAGGCCATGTACCTTGATACATTTTATGAGTTGAGCTCCTACTGTTAAAAGTAAGTGTGGCTAGACTTAATACAGCTTATTGGAAAGAAACGAGATAAAGACTAAAGGCATGTCTCCTAAAATGGCTGATGGATTTTTAGTTTTCAATAAGAATATTAGGAAAATAATCAGCAGAGTGTGTCTTAGTCACAGAGAGCAAGATGCAATATAGTTTATAGAATGTATGTTATTTTGTTTAAGAACATTTATAATACCTCCTAACTCACTCTTGGTGACTCAAGGGGGCTTAGTAAGATAAAAACCCAATATAAAAACAATAAAAAAGCAATAAACCCCCATCTCACTGGCAACAACAAACAAATAAGCCATTTATGGGCTCCATCTCTAGGGTCCGCAGGCTCGCTGGCAAAACCAGGCCTTCGGGATCTTGCGAAAGGGGGTCAAAATGGGGTCCAATTGTATTTCCACAGAGATGATATTCCATAGGGACGGGAGCCACCACAGAGACGACCCTTCTTCTTGGTCCCGCTAGATGGACCTTCTTAAGAGAAGGAGGATGAATTCCTTAAATCACAGCAAAAACCAGGAATTGAATTTGGGAGATAGGCACTTGATAGGGTGTCCGGAGGGTGGTGGTATCGAAAAAGTAAAGATGGAGGATGACTGATTGAGATCCCATCTCATCATCATGACATCATCATGACATCTTGTGTCAGAAGTGTGTAAGTCACCTTTGTCAGTAAAATCTGCCTGTCCAGTATAGTCTTCCTTGTTTTAAACACTCATTCTGTACAGAATCTGATTGCTCCAGAGGTGGTATTCAGCAGGTTCTGACCAGTTCTGGAGAACCGGTAACGGAAATTTTGAGTAGTTCGGGGAACCGGCAAATACCACCTCTGAGTGGCCCCGCCCCCCTCTATTTTCTGCCTCCCGAGTCCCAGCTGATTGGCTGGGTCTTCTTTGGTTGCCTTGCACAGGAGAACGGAGCTGGAAAGCAGGTTAGTGGGGTGAGGAAGCAATGGGGATTTTGCAGTCACCTTCCCCCAGGAGTGGGGAGGGAATGGAGATTTTGCAGTATCCTTCCCCTGCCACACCCACCAAGCCACACCATGCCCACCAAGCCACGCCCACAGAACTGGTAGTAAAAAAATTTGAATCCCAACACCGGATTGCCCGTATTTATTTTTAAAATGTTGTTTAAAACAATTTTGTTTTGCTAGAGATTTGAAAAACAACACTAAAAGAGCCAGGTTTGGGCTATTGATCTGTTTTGTTTACATGAAGTATTTATTTCCTGGCGTTTAGGAAATACGGGCCATGCATTTATTAATTATATTTTTTAAATCTTGTTTTGTACTGCCAATTGTCCAAAGTCTTGAGATAGGGGCAGGATAAAAATGTAATAAACAAATAGTCGAAGAAAAATAAAAGCACATTACAGAAAGAGAGCTAATTGGAAACATACAATGGAAACAATACAGTAATTACAAGAAAAATGTAGAACTGGGATTAATGCATAAGCTGCTTTTGAAAACAGTAAACTGCTTTACAATAAAAAAAGAAGCTCAAGTTAGAATGGATAAAGTCATATATTGGCTTCTAATCTTCCACCAGACTTTTAGTTAAAAGTTTCTATGTTCCCCAGCTGTATAGCAACTTGGCCTAAAGATTAAGGAAAGGGGGAGGAAGCTTGGAAAGGAAAATTATTGCCGATCTGAGCAGATGTGACAAATTCACTTGTACTCAGATTAAAATTGAGGAAGTGTATCCCAAAGTCTGTGAAAATTGAGAAGATAACAAGGTGGGGGGGGGTGGGTTCTGGTGAAATGTCAGCTTCACAATAAACAAAAATAAAATGTGGTTTTGTAAAAAAAAAAAAAAATCCATAAAAACCAGATCTTTTAAAAATTGCTTATGAGCCAAACATCTTGCCCCAAGGGGATAATTTTTTTTAAAAAAGGTCTGGGATCCACTTCAAAACTGGAAGGAGAGAGAGACATTAAAAGCAAAAAAAGATTTTTGGTCAAAATAATCAGATCGCAATACTGTAGGCATGAGGGATCAAAAAAATCTTCAAAAGTTTTTTTAACAGCTAAAATCCCAGAGAAGTGGTCAAGTGGGCTCTGGAATTTAGATCAAATTCACCATCAAATTCAGTAACTGCTCTAAAATTGTATGGGTAAGCACTGGAAACCAGTTTTCTATCGTTCTTAAAAAACTGGCATTTTTAAAGTCCCAGAATAGATATCACGTCAGCCCAAGTAGACTGAGTGGTAGTCTTTCCACTAAATCATAATGCAGGTAATCCTTAACTTACAACCAAAAGCGAGTCCACAATTTTGGTCGTAAGTCGTGACGGTTCTAAAATGAGTCACCACATAACCAGACCTGATTTTACAATCTTTTTTTGGCTGCAGTTGTTAGGTGAATACTGCGGTCATTAAGGGAACCAATAGTTCATTATGGGCCAATTGTATCAAAAATTGGAAGTAAATGTTTTTGACAAAAACATCGTAAATCATGCTAACATGACTGCAGACCACTGCAAATGGCCCTGAATGCAGGTGCCCAAAATGCAGTTATGTGACCACTGGAGGGGGCCTGGATGTTGGAACTTCAAATCTGGGTCAAAAATAGCTTTTTTAGGATCTGTCATAACTTCAAACAGTTGCTAAGCGACTGGTCGTAACTTGAGACCTACCTGTGTTTGACTTGGCCTTCAGTGGTGAGATTCAAAATTTTTTACTACAGGTTCTGTGAGCGTGACTTACTGGGTATGGCTTGGTGGATACGGCAGGGGAAGGATACTGCAAAATCCCATTCCTTCCCCACCCCACTAACCTGCTTTCCAGGTCCGTTCTCCTGTGCAGGGCAACCAAAGAAGACCCAGCCAATCAGCTGGGACTCAGGAGGCGGAGAATAGATGGGGGCGGGGCGAGTCAGAGGTGGTATTTGCTGGTTCTCCAAACAATTCAAAATTTCTGCTACTGTTTCTCCAGAACTGGTCAGAACCTGCTGAATATCACCTCTGTTGGCCTTAGCATATTGTACACACTTTCCATTGTGATTAGTCAAAGCTGGCTAAAACAAAACCCTGCCTTAGTGCAGTTTTTCCTCAACCTTGGCAGTTTTTTTTAAATGGATGGTTTTCAACTCCCAGAATTCCCAGCTAGCCATGCTAAGCTAGGCAATTCTGGGAGTTGAAGTCCACACGCCTTAAAAGTTGCCAAGGTAGAAAAACACTGCAAAACCTCTCTTAGTTATGTTCTTTTGTATTCTTTCTTTCATCTTTTATATTACTTTCATCTCTTTTTATAGCTGGACTTTTTACAGTTTTAGTCAGGTCCATATTTCAGACTTCTGACAGATGTCTGTCCTCCAGAAAAAGAGGCCCCTTTTACGAGCCACGTTGTGACGGCTTTCCCCTGATCAAAGTTTTCTCCTCCCCTCAGATCCAATCCACCCTTATGTGCAAAAGGATTAAGAATCATAAAAATCGTTTGCTGTTTCTAGATGCCCTAAACTCTCAAAACTTTTGGTGCAATTTTTCAAAAATCTGAGTGTCTATATTCATATTATGGTCCTGGGCATGAGAGAACATACGCTCTTCTGCATCAGTGAACGTTTCCCATTTATAATTTAATTAATTAATCAATTATATAATAAAAGTATCAAAACATTAAAAGATAGGAAAAAATAAGGTATTTTCTTCGGGAAAATGTTTTCTTAAGATAACAAAAAATTAAGAAAAGTGAAAGAAACAGAAAAAAAAATAGTAAAAGATTAGAACTTCCACCCTCTTTTCTATCCAGTAACCATCTTATTCTTTCCTCTTTTTTCCTCTCTTACTTTGTACTTTCCCTTCCCTTTTAACCCTTTTGTAGCCCCCAAATCCATAAATCATCAATTCAGCATTTTCTCCTTTCAGCAAAAAAATCTGCAGAAGATTTCTAGTGGTTTTTTTTTAAAGCATTTATCGCTTCCCCCCCCTAACCTTGAGAATTTTCTATTTCTATATAATTACGTCCAAAGTTGGCATTTCGGTGGATGGAAGAACCAGGTCTCGCTTAAAAACTAAATATTTTATATTTCTCTTTCTTGTGACAGGTTGTCGACAATGTTAGCAACCAGACGTCATGCCGCCTGGCAGGCCTAAGGCCTGGGACGGTGTATTTCGTCCAAGTCCGTTGCAATCCAGTCGGAATCTACGGTTCAAAGAAAGCTGGCATTTGGAGTGATTGGAGCAACCCAACAGCAGCCTCCACACCTCGGAATGGTGAATAGGACCAATTTTCTATTCTTACCTTTGGCAAAAAGGGGGCTGGTGTTTTCTAAGTGGCCTAGAATCCAAAGGTGCTTTTTCAAGAGGCAACTGGACTTTATATTTTGTTTTTTCTTTGACGATCTTTCGATTCTCATCCAAGAATCTTTTTCAGCTCTGACTGGATGATGGGGAATGGAAGGATTTATACTCCTTGCAGACTGCTGGTCATTTGCATTCTTTTAGCAGGTCGTTAAGGCCACCTGGAGGTTTCCCTGAGTGGTGCAAATGGGTGTGGAACTGTTGAAAGAGCTGTGTTGTAGATTGAAGATAGATGATGTTGTATTTTCCCCCCCTCTGTTGAGAGAGGGATGTTCAATTTTGACATAGACCTCTTTGACCCCTCTTTCAAACCAGTGGTCCTCTCTGTCCAAAAGGTGGACTCTGTCTTTTAAATGCAGATGGACTGCTGAATCTTGTCCTGATGGGTTTGTTCTCCTACGTTGTGCTGTGCGTTCATGAAAGAAAAACCAGTTTCCTCTTGAATAAGCACCTTTGGGGACAATCATGACCTGGATGACTGAGAATCTCCATAGACAAACAGCCTAGAACAGTGATGGCGAACCTTTTTGTTGTGGTGTGCTGAAAGCACGCGTGTGTGCTGGCAGCCACAATGCAATGTGCCCCCACACACATGTGCACGCAACACACACACACACACACCCTGCCACCCCGTTACCTGCACTGTGCATGTGTGCACCTCCCAGCTGAGTTTTGGCCTGTTTGAGGCCTTTTTCGGCCTCCCAGAGGCTCGAGTGAAGTCTCTGCAGCCTTTGGAGGCCAAATACCAGAAGTGACAAAACCAGAAGTACCAGAAATGACAAAACGGGCCTTTTTTTCGGCCTCCAAAGGCTGCAGAGGCTTCCCTCAAGCCTCTGGGAGGCCGAAAACCATCTGGGAGGTGCGCGCATGCGCAGTGTAGGTAGTTTTGGCTGGGGCTCGCGTGCCCGCACAAATGGCTCTGCATGCCACCTGTGGCACACATACCATAGGTTCGCCATCACGGGCCTAGAACTAAGAAGAAATTTCCTGACAGTGAGAACAGTTAATCAGTGGAACAGCTTTTCTCCAGGAGTTGTGGATGCTCCAACACTGGAAGTTTTTAAGAAGAGGTTGGGCAGCCATTTGCCTGAAATGATATAGAGCAGGGGTGTCCAACCTTGGCAATTTTAAGACTTGTGGACTTCAACTCCCAGAGTTCCTCAGCCAGCAAAGCTGGCTGAGGAACTCT